GAGTTTTCCTTGAGTTTTTATCCTATTTTTATTGTATTTTCCTGGGTTTTTCTTCCTATTTCCTATATTTTATATCCTATATCCTGAGTTATTTTTGAGTTTATATCTTTTGAGTTTATTTTTTTGAGTTATATTTAAGTCTTCTTTGAGTTTTATTTAAGTTTTACCTTTTGTATACACATATTCTTACCCTCTCCATGTTAAGTTAAGTAGTATAGTTAGCAAGGCCAGCTTTCTATATTATACTATAAACTTGGACAATCTTATAAATGAGGTTTTTTTAAAAAAGGAAATCAAACGTTTGTTTGTAATAATAAGAACAATACTTTTAAACAAAATTAAAAGTTCAGAAGAATTACATAGGCTTGAGGAATAAATTAATTACTAGATAATTAACAAAATATATAAAATGTATATAAAATTATAATAAAACTTTCAATTTTAAAATTCTGAGTTGAACACATAACTATAATAAAATTGTTTTTGAATAGGCAATTTTTTGTGTATCGATCATGCTTATCTACAGTAAAATGCTTTATCATCGTTAATAAAAATATGGACAAATCTATTGTCATTACAAAAATTTCAAACCTTTAAAATCAAATAACTCAAAATCATACTTATATCTTAACAAAAAATATTTATTGCATAATTTTATTATATACCATAACCTTTTTAACCCTAAATATAACTCTAAATATCCAGATACTGTTACCACCAGTAACAAATAGATTATTTCAATAAAGTAAATAAAAATTTAATAAAAACAATTTTTTTTTTTAAAAAAAACTATCTTTTAGTTTAAGAAAAATTTACATGTAGCATGGCTTTCTGTAGCCATATTAAATAATTCTATAATAACTCCCCTGTTGTGTAACTAAGTAAAAAGGCTCCTCTTACAATTTTACCCTAAACCTAACCCTAATATTAATAGCTGTAGAATTTTTTTATAAAAAAACTATATTTGATATGTAGCCTATGGCTACAAATAAATTAATTCTTAGTTCAAAATATAGTTTCTGCTGAGTGATTGAGCAAATTTTCAATCTAGTTAATATATAATTTACAGAGAAGATACAATTTGAAGTTTAAAAATCCTATATGAAACGATTATAAAAATTATCAAATTTCAAATTGTATTTCCTCCATAACTTACATATTGATTTGCTTGGAAATTTTACACAATTACTCAATAAGACTTATATTATAGAAAGAAATATAATTACCGCTCCACATCGTAATCACAGGACTCACGGGACTCAAAAAAAATTATGCAGATCGTCGATCCAACTAAATCGAAAAGAGCATCACCACCCTAGGGTTAGGGTGCAGCTTTAAGACATATAGGAGTTTTTTATATAATATAATGTTGATTAGATATAAGTTCCAATTTCAGTTCTCGTAAGGGTTCTGAACATTTTTACTTAGAGCACCCGATCCTGTTTATTTGGTAAGTTTTGAGATATAAGCACCCTGGTTATAGTTAGATTTATTCGGCTTTTTTGAGAAAAAAATATTTGCTATACTTAAATATTAAAGATTATATATAAAAATAAGGTTAATTAGCCTAATAAAAAGTGAATAAATTTACAAAAAGTTTATATTAAAGCCAATATAACCTCTATATATATTATTCGGGGTCCTTCTTTGATCAGAGACATATATAATATGTAAGTTGACTTACATATCATATATCGATATGTCTCTGAATAGGGATGAGTCTGGTAAATAATTAACAACAGACCTAAAAGCCAAAAGCCTGGTTTTAGATTGGATTTTTATTCTTTACTTATAATTATATAGAAATTAAAATTTAAAGTTAATAAGAAAATAAAATCCGATTAACCAATCTATTTTCCATATATGTGTATAATAGACTTTGGGCTTTCAAGTTTATTATTTATTATTTACCAGACTCATCTCTTATCAGAGACATATATGATATATAAGTTGATTTACATATCATATGGGATCTTTGCTAGAAAAATGACCCTACGAGCCATTGTTACACGAGATTTTTATTAAGAAAAACATAATAAATCTATTTTTAGAAAAAAAAAATCCTAGCAAAGATCCCATATATGTCTCTGATTAGGGATGAGTCTGGTAAATAATAAATAATAAACTTGAAAGCCAAGCCTGGTTTTCTTTCTTGGCTTCACACATATACATGTGGAAAAACAGATTAGATTTATTTATTTAAATTAAATTTTTTTCGTGTAATTTTAAAAATTAATTATCATAAAATGTTAAAAAATTTTAAAGAATTTTAAACTTTATTAAAAATGAGGTCTATTTCCGATAATTCTCAAAAAAAGATTATAAATGATCCTATCCATGTAAACTTCTTTTTACATTAAATGATTTGGAAAAAAATAATTTCTCAAGTAAATGCGAATTAATGAAATTTTTTTTATATATATATTTATCTCCTTATGTTTTATCATAATAGGGGTATATTTAATTTGAAGATTGAGCTGTTCAATTTATTGATATACCGCAATTTCAAAGGTTAAAAGAAATTAAACAATTAGGTGCTACCTATTTCGTTTTTCCTGGTGCAAGTCATAATCGCTTTGAACATAGCTTAGTTAAATGATAGATTTTTTACTCACTTTGTTCTACGCAACTGATTGGATATGTAATAACATAAGCTACTTTAGGAACAGCACATCTTGCTTATGCATTTGCAAAACATTAATGCAACAAGGCGCTTAAATGTGTGACTTTGGCAGCTTTATGTCATGACCTGGGTGAGTTAAAATCTATTCACATACAACCGAATAATGACTGAAGATATTTAAATGATATTACGTGCAACTATAATAGGACATGGACCATTTAGTCACATCTTAGATGATGAAGTTGTACCAAGATTGTAATGTAATTATATTTTAATAACAGTTTCGCATCCAAAATAAATTTAAAATCAAAATAACTGTTATATACATAAAAACTATGAATTTTTAACATAATAGAGGTCTCGATAAAAAATGGAAGCACGAAGACGGGTCAATAAATATGCTAGGTGATCTTATTGAAGAACTGAGAAATTCAGAATCGGTTTCTTTCGACCTAGAAACGGAAGATTAAGAATTCATCAAGGCGCTTATTCTAGGAGAATCAGTTGGATTCTATGTTGCTTTCATAATACATATTATTATCATATTTGCATACTGTATAAGCTTATATAGTTTGCTTAAAAATCAGAGATAGGCCCAAATATCTATTTGACATAGTCAATAATAAAAATAATTCTGTGGATGTTGACAAATTTGATTATCTTAGTCGAGATTGTTACAATTTGGGCATGAAATCTTTGTTTGACTCTTCCCGATTGATGCAGTTCTCTTGCGTCATGGATAATGAGATCGCTTATAACCACAAGGAATGCTTTAACATTTATGAAATGTTTCATACGCGTTATTCATTGCACAAGAGAGTGTATAACCATCGCGTCAGTATGTTATCTATGAACAAAGATTACTCCTAATATTTTTGTATTTGTAGTTGATAGAATAGTAACTAGCCTTAATGTAGACAGAGCAATCAATTATATGATAGCAGATGCGTTTGTGAAAGCTAATCCATGCCTTAAAATCAAAGAGGCAATTGATAAACCTAAAGAATATATCAAATTGAATAATTCTATATTGAGTTTTATCGAACATTCGGAAGGCGATGTATTTATTAGCTAGATGCATCTATTGTATAATACATAAAGACGTGAAATCAAATTAATGAATATTTCAATACTTGATTCTTAGGATTTGAAAGAATCAAGAAAAATTATCAAGCGAATTAGACGGAGGGATCTATACAAATTCATAGCTGAGTGTTTAATCTCGAAAGTTCGTAAAAAATTCGTTACGAAGGTATTATAATGCTAAAGTTTTTTTGCCGAAGATAGATCCTTAAATAGTGTTACGAGTGAATCGTATGTTTTAATAGCTTCTACACGAAAATAGAGGATTTATAATATAAGACAACTCGCCAGAGGCGTGATGTTGGTGATTTGATATTTATTTAGACGATTTTGTACAAGGATTTATCAAGGGAAGTTATTTAACTTATTATGTATTAGAATCCCGTAGGATGTCTTTCAACTAACACACAATATCTCAGTGCTTTTATAGCTTCTACTAACTTTAACGAATTCGAAGAGCTTAGGGAAAAATAGTGTTACGGGGTGAATCGTATGGTTTTATTAATTTATATACAAAAAGATATAATTTATATGATAAGGCAACTCGCCAGAGGCGTGACGTTGGTGATTT